AAGTGTCAATAGATTGATGGGTAAAAAAAAAAAAATTGTATATACGTACAATGAAATATTATTCAGCCTTTCACAAGAAGGAAATCCTGTCAAAATGCTACACTGTGAATGATCCCAAGGACCGTTATGCTAAATAAAATAAGCCAGTCCCAAAAAGACAAATACAGCATGATTCCACTTATATGAGGTCTCTAAAGTAGCCAAACACTTAGAAGCAGAAAATAGAATGCTGGTTGGTTGCCAGGCATGGGGCAAGGGGAAAGGACGTTATCATTCCACGGACATGGAGTTTCAGTTTTACAAGATGAAAGAATTCTAGGCCAGCTTCCCAAGATGTCGAACCCTAAGTACAAGCCGGCACGCCTGGCCCCTTGGCCCCCTACCCTTGACCCAGCTGAATAGGACGTATCCCGGAATCCCGGAAGGCACGAGCCCAGCGGCTGGTCCTAAGACGCCGACTGAAAAGGTAGGAGCTGCTTCAGTAACAACGACCCCACCCGCTGGGGCTCATCGAAGGTCCCGCCTTGGCTGGCTGGACCTACGCAAGAGCAGCAAGTGTCTACCCCAACCTCAGACCCACTCCCGCGAACACACTCCTGGGAGCTGTGATTGGAATTGGGCCCTTCATCTTCCGGCATTACCTTTTCAAAACTGACAGAGAGAGGAAAGAAAACCTTACCCAGGAAGGAAAATGGGACCGGAACTATAACGTCTCCTATGAAGGCTGACAATGATGACTGGATATATTATGGTTTAATAAATCTACTAATCATGGGGGGTGGGGAGATGAAAAAGTTCTAGAGATTCTTGCACAGCAATGCACCTACAGTGGACATTATGGTAGCACACACCTAAAAATGGTTACGACGGTCAACTTTATGCAGTTTTGACCATAAAAAAAAAAAAGCAAAGCTTAGGAGATTTCAAATACAAGACGTCTCATGATAAGACTCTCGGGAGAGCTCCGATGTGGTTAAAATTGCTGTGGACGCTGCAGTTTGAAACTCCTGGGGCAGGCAGAGATCAGGTCCTGCAGGAAGAGGTGGGGTGGGGGGGTGGCCGAGCCCCTAGGAGGCACATGTGTTGGAGCCGAGGGAGGAGGGACAAAGCGAGTCTGATGAAGGCAGGATGAGTGCGGAGAGCCCAGCCCAAGCACAGGGGCCCCCTCTCGGGCGATCAGATCCACCTGCAGCCGGGCCCATCGCGGGCGACCTTCCCTTGAACCCCGTCAGGAAATCACCGAGAAATCCCTCCTGCCCGTAAATTAAAGACAGCCACAGTAGCAGTGACAGATGGGGGGCAAACAGCAGCGGCCTCGCAGCTGTCTCTGCCAGCAGGGGTCTTCACACCCCCGGCCCCGGGCTGGGGGAGGCTGGGGTGAGATAACCTCACAGTGGTCCAAATCAGTCTTGTGCTGTGAACCACCCGAAGGTCTCAGAGTGGGGGCCCGGGACACCGCTTTCATGATCCTTTCCTTGAGCAAAGCTGCCCGCTTCCAGGGGGAGCAGCTGCGGCTGGCAGAGGAAGGAGAGGGGGAGCGGAGAATATTCCCTTGGAAACAGACTTTCTGTAACTTTCTGTTCCGGGAGGTTTCTCCACCAGCCAGGAGGGGAGGCATTGACCAGGCACCCTCTCTCCCCCACCCCCCTAATCCCCACACCTCGCTTACCCCCTCCACCCCCGCCCCCTCCAGCAGATCTCTGAGCTTCAGGCTCCTAATTGATGACAACTGGTTTCTTAGGACCAGCAACGATTGTGAGAGGTTCCCCAGACTCAGGAGTTTCTGAGACGGTGTATTTGAAACCTTCCATTCCATTGAGGCCGAGAATAACAGAGAGATTTGACAGAGGCTGGTTCTGGAGAAAGGGGCCTCATACATTCATAGCTGCCGGTTATTGAACTCATAGACCAGGCACAGTGCTCATCTCGTGGGTCATTGTACTTGACCTCCACAGCCTCTCTCAATGGGAGGTGCTATTGTTATCGTTTCATTTTAGAGCTGGGGAAACTGAGGCTCCAGGAAGTTAAGGATTTCCCCAAGTCATGCCGCCAGAAGTGGTGGTGCTGACGCCGACTCTGTCTGTCCAGCCGTGACGCACTAACGAAAACACGTTTCTGACCAGCGCTGGTTAACCTCCCAGAGATGGCTTAGCCCAGTGGTCGGCAAACTCATTAGGCAACAGAGCCAAATATCAAACAGTACCACACGAATGACATTTCTTTTGAGAGCCGAAAACTGACTTCTGCGCATGAGCCACAAAGTTCAATAGCACTGCACGTGCACGCCTGTTTGTGGTATTTTGCGGGCGAGCCACACTCGGGGGGCCAAGAGCCGCATGTAGCTTGAGAGCCGCAGTTTGCCGACCACTGGCTTAGCCGGGGCGAAGGGGAAGTGTTTAAGGCGATCGATCCCTTTGAGTACAAAATGCATGGGGTGCCTAAAACCTCAGTAAATCAAGAGAAATAATATTGCACTGAAATGTTTTAAAAAATAAAAATGAATGCAAAAAAAAAAAAAAACCTATGCTGAATAAAACATCAAACTTTTAAATAAGAAAGAATCCAACCAGTGGCTAGGGATTGGTGGGATGGTGAGGGGCTGCTTTGTGGGCAGATTCCTAGAGTGAGGGGTGAGCCTTGCCACCACTTCCCCCTTTCTATATGCCCTTCCTTGCAAAGCTGATCTTTCCTGTCTCCTTCCCTCCCGCTGAATTCCAAAGGGAGACTTAAAGCCACTAAGTGGGTGATAAAGATTTCCATGCCGGAGGTCTGGAACCCCAGAGAATGAATGAAAGTCAGTCAGCTCGCTGTGCTCGGCAGCCCTCATGGGTCTGTTGCCGTGAGCCCAGGGCCCCTCCAGGATGGGACCCTCCCCCGCCCCAGGCTGACCCTGTGAAGAAGGAGGAAGTTCAGCAGAGGGTGTCCATGTCCGCCTGGGGTGGACAGCTGCTGGGCACACGGGCTTACTCCCTCACGCAGTGCCATGGGCCCCGGGCCAAAAGGAAAGTCGTGTGTTTGGGTCTTGCTGAGACACGGCATGGTTTTTCCCGAGCCCAGCCCATGGCGGTGCCGGCCTTCCCGGCCTGGGCTCCCAGGTCCCTGGAAAGTGGTGGATGCAGCGGAGGGGGGTGTGGGCAGAGAGGGCGCCATGGCGGGGCAAGCTCTCAGTCAGGCCCACAGCCAAGTCTCTGAGAGCCCCTCGGAGAGGAGAAGCACAGCGTGTCCCATTCTCAGCAAATCTCCAGCTGGGGCTCAGGAATAGCTCAGGCCTGAACCGGTTGGAAATCTAAAGGGCCCTTCTGCGGAGCAGCCAGGAAGGCTGTGATCCTTCAAGAGGAGGCTTGTGCTTGAGATCTACTGAAGGGAGTGAGACTTGGGGTCTGACATTCAGGGTGTGAGCTGAGTTCTAGGGTGACCACTGGCTCCGGTGTGAGGGGTTTCTCAGGACACAGACTTCCAATGCTACCATCAGAAAAGCCCTGGGCAAGCTGAAATGAGCGGCTCACTCTGTTCAGACCCCATGCTAGCGGAGACACCCCCGCCCGCAAACATTAGGCATCTCCTTTCCACACATAGACAACCTACTGGTAAGACCTGCTGGTCTTACCTCGAGAACTGGTGGGACGCAAAAGGGCAAATGTGTGTTGTCTGCTGCACCTTGGACTTCCCAAGCTGCAGCACATCCCTGTCAGACAGGCATCTGCAGGCTTCTCCTCCCTCTCAGTGTGAGGTTTTGTGTGTGTGTGTGTGTGTGTGTGAGGGGGTGGGGGAGATAGGATGAGACCGTCTTATTCATCTCTGCATCCCCAGGGCCGAGGTCGGAGTTGGCAAAAAGAAACGCTGAGGAAATCTGTGCTATATCGAAAGTGCTTTGTGAAGCAGAGCACAGAACGCTGTCATGGACTGGCTGGCACTCTCATTTCCTGCCTGCCCCTGGTCGGCCCATGGGAAGGTTCTCCGTAGGCTCAGACAGGGAGACGCTGCCGTAAGGGTGGCTGTCAGGAGGGCATAGTGGGCAGCGGGGGCAGGAGGCACGGGTGCTGCCTTGTTCTGGGCAAGGTGGGCGAGGGACCCAGACAAAGGCGAACGGGCAGTGGGGGAAGCGAGGAGGGAGACGAGGAAACAAGCCCCTGCCACCGGGAGGAGCAGGGATTGTGCTGGGGTCCTGATAAGAGGACCAGCGCCATGCTCTGGCCTCTGGAGCCGAGCGCCGAGCTGGGCTTTCCCTGCATTCTGAAGTCCAGCGCTTGCCCTTGGCTGCCTGCTTCCCTGACTCTCCCTCCCACCGCCGGAGATTCCCTCAGGAGCGCCTTCCCTGAGGGTCACCCAGACCTGAGGATGCTGACCTGCCCCCTGGGCCTGGGCACGGCCCCCCTCGGCAGGGGGAGGCCCTGTGGGCTCTCCGCTCCAGCTCTCAGCGCTCCGTCTCCCCTCATTGCCTCTCCCCTCCCAGCCCTGGTCCTGCTCCTCTGTCTCTAGGCTCCTGGAGACACAGGGGCCTGGCTCTGCTTGACCATCCAGGGTTCTGGCCTTGGTTCTAACCCCCTCCTCCCCCACCAGCCTCCGTCCCGGCTGATTCCCACGGTGAGCACACCCTGAGGCCCTGGGACCATTTGGAGCTGGGGGGGGGGGGGCCTGGCAGGGAGAAGCAGCATGACCCAGAGGCAGCCCGGGGTCAGGAAAGCCCCTCTCTAGCCCTTGCCGGCCTCCACGGAGGCCCCCTCCCACGTGCCCTCCAGATCCCTGTGGGTCCTGTTCCACTCTCTGGCTGGCACATCCCCCTTGGGGCCCAGGGGTCCTGGGGTCACAGACGTCCCCGTCACCAGAGAACCCTAGAGCTCTGAGAAGAAGACACCCCGAAGGGAACTCCTTCCTGCCTCTGACTAGGTTAGACAGACCTGTTTGCAAGGCACGGCCGGGGCCGTGAGGCTCAGACCAGGCGAGAAACCTCCCCGAGGCCACACAGCAGCGGCTCGGCCAGCTGCTCTCCGGCCACCTACCTGCACCGTCCTTTTTCCGCCTGGATGCCTTCTTCTCCGTCTCACTGGCGGTGCTCCCAAAGACCTCGCAGTCCTCTGCCGGGCCTCCCGCGGCGTCCACCAGCCCCGGGCTGCTGGCCCCCGTGTCCCTGCAGCCCCCCGTGGGGCCCGGGGTGAGCCTCCGCCGGGCCTCTGAGCCGGGGAAGTGCCAGTCGGGGGGCTGTGGGAAGGCGGGGTGCTGCTCGGCGAAGACCCGCTCCTCCTGGGGCAGGCTGTGCGGGGTGGCCGCCAGGCAGGAGGCCGAGAAGTCGGGGTACGCTGCCGTCGCCGCCGCCGCCGCCGGGAAGTCTGGCTTCTGGTGGAAGGAGAACGGGGTGGGCGGGTAGTGGGGCAGCCCCGAGGCCCCGCTGCCTTCGGAGAGGGGGTTCCGGAGGCAGCCCCAGACGGGGGCCGGGGGGTGGGGGCTCCGCATGCAGCTGCTGGCCGCGGGATCCATCTGCTGTCCTCGGCACACCTCAGTCCTTCGAGGGTTCGAGTCTTACCCTTGTTAGAGTCAAAATTTTTTTAAAAAAATGCAAAAAAATAAAAATTAAAATTAAATAGTAAGGGGGAAAAAAAACGTTCAACAGAAAGTTCACCCCAGGAACCAAAACAAAACCCCAAACTAAAGTCTCTTTTAGAAGTCCACACACGTGTATGTGTGTGTGTGTGTGTGTGTGTGTGTGTGTGTGTGCGTGAGTGTGTGTGTACACACTTGCGTCTGCCTTCTCTGCTGGCTTCCTGCCCCCGGACACACCAGCCTGCCTAGTGGGATGCCCCGTGCGTGTGATTGTCGCCGGTGACACTAAGCATGTTCACTGTCCCAGCCCAGACGCCCGCGCCCCGGAGCCCTCGGCAAACGCCTGGGAGGGCTGGCCGGGGCTGCGGAGACGCACACTTTTAAAGGCTGCGGTGGGGAGAGAGTGACAAATTTCTGAAGTGAAATGTGAGAGAGGAGAGGGAGGGGTTAACCCGCACCCACACACTCCCCTCCAACCAAAACCCGAGCAGGCAACTATTAATCATCAGAAACCTTATATGCACATCTAATGGGATTTGCAGATGGAGACTTTTAAAGAAACATTGTCTGTATTTCTTTCTTTTTTTCTTTTTCTTTTTTTTGAGGAGAGAGAGCCGCTCACACACACCCCTCCTTTAATGTGCCTCCTGTAAGCACTGTGAAGTTATTTTATGACGCTGTTAACAAAATTCCCCGCGTCTTGGATTTGGAAAGAGCCCTAAGTCAGATCCAGAGTCCGTCAAGTGCCAGATTCCAGGGAGGGAAGCCGGGAATGAGCGCAGGAGACAAGTCTGCTGATGGCCTGTGATTTAAAAGCCCGTCCACCGCCGCCTGCACAAGGGAAGGTGGATGAAAGGGAATCTTTTTTATTTGCAGGCCTCCGCGGCCCGCGAGGGCCTGTGGTATAAAGAAAGACATTCCCCGGAAAAAAAGGGGGAAAAAAGATTTCTCTCTGTCCAAAGTGACATTCTCACTTTCTCAGTAACTTTAAAAAAAATATAAAAAAAAATCAGATTCTTCCTTCCTCTCTTTAACCCTCCACTTAATGCCCATTAGCCACTCTTCTCTAGAGGGGTCTCAAGTCATTTTTCTCCGGGGGGGGCGGGGGGGAGAGGCTCTCAGATAAAGTCCTTGAAGTTTCTCTAAGGCCTCCCTCACCTGCTCCGGGCTCCCCAACCTTCATCCCCTGGCGTCCCCCTCCCCAACCTTCATCCCCTGGCGTCCCCCTCCCCAACCTTCATCCCCTGGCGTCCCCCTCCCCAACCCCAGAGGCCAGGGCTTCTGCGAACTCCGGGGCATGGAACCAGGAATCGGGGGTGGTCTCGTTCCCAAAGGAGTTCTCTTTGGCACACGCTCACGTGGGCTTCCTGGCTGGTACCAATCCCAGGAGGGCCAACTGCCATTTCAACCGGCCAGCCCATCCACTCCATCACGGGGGCCTGCTGGGCTCTGTGGGGGGTTAATGTGATTTTTTTGGAGGATGGCAAGACCAGAGGACACAGCTCCTCGCCCGTGGCCCAGAGTCCGTGGATCGGGGCCCACCTGGGCCACAACAGCGGCGTCTCTGCCTTCTGGCTCTGAAGGAGGAGGGGTCTCAGCTCTGCGGCCCGGAGGCTGTGCTCACGCTCTGTGTGAAAAAGGCGTTGCGTCCTCTGGAATGGGCAGCCGGGTGCTGGAGGCCAGCAGAGGCCACGGGGGCGTGGCCACCAACCAGAACCATTTCTCCGCTTCGTCCAGGACTCTGCTGCCGCGTGCCCGTTTCTCCCCCGCACCTCACCCCTCGCCTGTCACGGGTGAAGGAAGCGTTGTTGTGTTCTACGTTTCACACATGAGGAAGGTGAGGCTCAGACAGAGACCGGGGCTGCTCGGGATCGCACTGCGAGAGCTGCCCTCAGGGGTGTGAGTTCCAATCCCGCGCCGGCCGCTTTCTGGCTGTGTGCCCTGGGACACGCCGCCTCACCTCTCTGAGCTCCCGTTCCCACACCTGGGAGGGCAGCCCATTCAGCCACCGACGGCTGACATTCTCCCACGGACCTTAGGCCCTCACCCCTATTCCCCCGAAGGATCCCCACGCAAGCCCCCTGAGGCCAGCGCTTTCCGCGTCAGCTCCGTGTTCCAGAATAGGACTGAAGCATACAGAGACTCTGTACCCTGCACAAGGTCACACAGCTGGGAAGGAAAGGACCTAGAATTCAGCTTTGGCCCCCCCGCCTCAGCATGCCTAGCCCACAGACATTTGAAACTGTCATACCCGTCCCTTATGCGAATGGGAAAGTGGGTAAGGGATATATTCCGTTCCCGTCCTAGCCTCTCTGAACGGAGACGGAGGGACTGGGGAGCATTGAGGAAATTCTACAAAAACCAGCCTCGTACGGTCCCTCGAGGGGCCCTGGGCTGTGCGGCTCTAGAAGGAATCCCCAGGAGGGAGGCCGAGGCCGGAGGAAGAGCTGGCTGTCCCCGTCCCCAGCAGGGCCTTCCTGGGGCCTGGCCCCGCAGGCTGTAACCGGATTCCCGCTCCGGCCTCCTCATCTGGCCCTTTGTCCCGGGAAGGGGTGGCCCCGGGTCACGGCGGGGTGGGCGGAGAGGTCAGTGGGAGGGGGCCCGGCAGGGGCGCTCTGCCCAGGACCCCGGCGGCACCCCGGCGACCTGAGCAGCTGCCGGCGTCTGTCAGACACCCCACCGGGCACAGCCGGGGGCCCGCCCGCCTCTACATCTTCCTGACAGGCCCCTCTTCTGAGGCCGGGAAAGAACAACAAGGTCCCTCCCTCCGGGCGGCCCGTTTGGTAGATGAAGGCCCGGCGCCGGCACCTTTAACCCCCTCCACGTCAGCGTTTCCCCATCGAGGCCCTGCAGGCCCCAGAGACAGAGACGACAGGAGTGGCTTTTGGGGGAAAAAGCCCCAGGCCTGGCGGCCGGAGGAGCAGGGTTTCCAGGAAGGGAGGGGCCCCGGTCCTGGTTGTTGTTGGGGGGATGGGGAGGGGGAGGAAGAGGAAAAGCACGTGTGGTAGGAGGAGGGTCCCCGAGGAGCCCTGACCGGGCCGTGGGCTTGGCCACACCCGAGCTCTCCCAGAACCTTCGGAATTTCCCTCCTCGGGCACTGCAGGCAGGCGTGTCCTTCCACCACAGACCCACTCCCGTGCGCGGCCACCCCGCCCGCCTGCAGGGGGAGCTGTGGCAGAGCCTGGGGCCACGGGCAGAAGACTCAGGTGGATGGTATGGCCTTGCCTTTCCTCAGCCGTGTGGTCTCAGGCAAATCACACCCATTTTATTTTCTTTTTTAAAATATATTTTTTATTGATTTTTCACAGAGAGCAAGAGGGAGGGACAGAGAGCTAGAAACATCGGTGAGAGAGAAGCATTGATCAGCTGCCTCCTGCACACCCCCTACTGGGGATGTGTCCGCAGCCAAGGTACATGCCCTTGACCGGAATCGAACCCGGGACCCTTCCGTCCCCAGGCCAACACGCTCCATCCAGTGAGCCAAACCAGCCAGGGCCACACGTGACCATTGATTGGCCGCCTCCTGCAGGTTGGACTGAGCCCGCAACCCAGGCACGTGCCCTTGACCGGAATAGAACCTGGGACACTTTGGATCTGCAGGCTGACGCTCTACCCACCGAGCCAAACCAGCTAGGGCCCATGTATGTGTGTGTGTGTGTGTGTATATATATATATATATATATATATATATATATATATTATTTTTTTTTTAAACGTTAGTGCTGGCCATCTGATTGTGGGCTGGTGACTTCAAAACAATACCCAGAGGGGCCTGCGTTGGAGCCTTGGCTTTGGAAGTCACGTGACCTCGCTTGCCTAGGCTGAGAAGTAGAGGCTAAGGTACAGATGGTAAGGCACCCAGAGGTGCTCAGAAGCGGGCCCTGGCCGGGGCGCCCGCACCTGCGCAGCGAGAGGCGTGTGGAGCTCCAGGAAAGGCTCTGAGTTCGGGCAGCGGACAGAACACGGGGCGCCCAGGGTAAGTATGTTCCCTGCAAGGTGTGGGACATACTTACACTAGCCAGTTCCCTGTTGTTTATCTGACGTTCAAATTCAACTGGGTGTCTTTTCCACCCCCGACCCCACCTCACCCTCCCGGTCTGGAAACCCCAACCTGGGGCAAAGGTCATCTTCGGGGGGACGAAGGCCCAGCCTCACCTTCCAGCCGGATCGGCACTATGAGGAGACCCTGGAAGGAAACTCACAGGAGGAGGCATGGAGTGTGGTCGTTGGGTAGGTTTGCCTCTGGCTGTGGGCTTGCTGGTTGCGGGAGGGGCCCAGGGGCCCCCAGAAAATCTCCCGTGGACGTGGGAGCCGTTGGCGTGAGACAACGCAGAGGGAGGAGGAAGAAGGAGGAGGGTCCAGGTGGGAACAGTGGGAACAAAGGCGGGTGCCCTGGGCAGGAAGCGCTGAGAGGAGGAGGAAGGCCACCGGAGCCGAGACGCCAGGCCGGGCGGGCAGACTCCTGGCCTGGCTTTCCGGGCGCGCTGTTGCAATGCCGCCACTCTTTGGGGGGAAAGCAGCTAACCAGATAGGACAGCAACCCGGGGATTTATGTGGTGTGGAAACAGCTCGGGTTTCCCTCACTGTTTACCCAGCAGTATTTTTTAAAACAGAAATCAGCGCGCGGGCAACCACAGCTGGGAGTGACTGGCTCTGGTTGCAAGGTCTGGGGAGGCAGCGGCTAAAGGAATGTGCCCTGCCCCGGCCAGGGTCCGGGGGGGAAGGGTGGCCCTGGGCAGGTCCTAGGTGGCGGGTGGCTCTGTGTCCTTTAGGATGTGGGCCAGCATCCCTGGGGGAGCTGTGATGGGTCAAGGCCCGAAGCCTTAGAGATCACTCCGTTAGGGGTCATGACCCCGCATGGGGCCAGGCCAGTCCACACCAGCTCGGGGAGCCAGCTGGGCGGGAGGTACAGGAGTGTCGTAAAAGAGAGAGGGGCC